CCTCTGTCTCTGTCTCTCTTACATATACACATACCATTTATGTTTGTAAATACAGATTTTGTTGCTTTTGCTCTGATGAAATTACTTGTACTTAAGTTTTATTTTCTAAAAAGGAGCGAAGAGGGGCACTGGGCTGGCTCGGTCAGTGGAGCATACAAGTCTTGAAATCGGGTTCATGAGTTCAAGCCCCATGTTGCCCAGGGAGCCTACTTTAAAAAGTAATAATAAAATAAAAAATAAAAGGGTGTCTGGGTGGCTCAGTCGGTTAGGCTGCTGACTCATGGCTTTGGCTCAGACTATGTGAGTTATGGGATCGAGCCTCATGTAGGGCTCTGCACTCATCAGGGAGTCTGCTTTGAGATTCTCTCTCTCTGCCCCTCTCCCAGCTTGTGCATTCTTTTCTCTAAAAATGGATAAATAAACTTTAAAAAGAAAGAAAGAAAGAAAGAAAGAAAGAAAGAAAGAAAGAAAGAAAGAAAGAGGAAAGAAAGAAAGAAAAGCGTGAAGAGATGGGTAAGCACTTTTAAACATAGGATTTGTGGTGTCAAAGTGGAAACATTGAGGGCACGATGTATTTCAGTTAAGACAAATGCAATACAGCACAGCACTTCCCCGTCCACAGTGGGGAGTGTAAACACTGTAGAAGATGGTGTAAAACAAACATTTCAAAAGCAAGGCAGAAAACATCTGGGAGATCTAATGAGCCATACAATAAGGAGAACACAGTTTGCTATTAAAGCAAGTAGCCTGTTGTGACATACAGAGTATGACAGCCAGAAGAGGCTTACAGAGTGCTGATCAGTTACAGGTTAAGTATCAGAGAAGAGTTTCCAATGTGTGACATGCCTGTGACGGGGAGAGTACAGAGATCGCCTGAAGAACGATAAAAATATCAGTGGGATTTGGAAGCAGCCATGATTAGACAGGAATAAAACCTTAAAGTTAGATAGACAATTTAACCTTGAAAGAAGTCCCACAGGAGAAGCATGTTGTCTTTCTTCATTAAGAGAAACCTTAACACTGAACATGGGCAATTTCAGAGGCTCAGTCAGTTAAGGGGCTGCCTGCAGCTCAGGTCGTGATCCCAGAGTCCTGGGATCAAGCCCCACATCAGGCTCCCTGCTCTGTGGGGAGCCTGATTCTCTCTCTCCCTCTGCTTGCCTGCCTACCGCTCCCCCTGCTTGTGCTCTCTCACTCTCCCTCTCTGTGTCAAATAAAAAAAGAAGGAAAGATAATGGGCAATTTCAGCGCCTGTAGGCATTTTATAACTGAACTCATTTAATGATTCTGCTCATTTCCTCATTCATGATTCATTCAGAAAATGTTTGTTGAAACCCTATTATTTAAATGCCTCCTGCACACCAGACACTGTTAGGGACAGGGAACCCCAAGGAGAGTGAGTTGTGGTTTCTGTTCTCAGAGAACTCAGTCTAATGGGGAAGATGGGCAACTGCACAAATCACTGCAATTTGGTGTGATAAGTACAAAAAGGTAGCAAAGTGGTCAAGCAGGGTCAGGGATTGGCACTGAATTGCGATGCTTAAGTAGGGGAGAGGAGATGTGATGTTAGGTTTTTATCACAGTAGCGCCGTCCTCAAAGTTGTAAGGGAGGCAGTCCTGGGAACCGATGGAGGATTGACTTACTAGTTCTTGGGAAATGCCTGGTATTTAGGAAGGGGCAGTGTGGAGCATGATCAGAAGACACTAAGAGATCCTGCTTTGTCTCCCAGACCAGATGATCTTCTTCTCCGAGAAGTGCTAACGGGGTCTGCATGACATCTGTGCAAAGCTCTGACCAGTACCTGCACTAGCTAACCTGCCCATCCATGCACTCACGCAGCCTGAGATCCTGTTTGGAACAGCAAAGAGCTGGATGGGTCTATCTTCCGCCATACTTCTCTACAACTGTTGAATAAATTGTGGTCTTAACCATATGATGCCATTAAGGGTGTTAAGAAATATATCTACGTATTTGGGAGAAGGCAGGAAAAGATCCAAATTACACAGTTATAAAGGAAGATAAAGGCATTAACATAATACATATTGATCTCATATGTATGTGGGTATGTGTGTGTATGTATATGAAATGAGTTGATAAATGTCTGTGCAAGTACAACAGGTATCTCTAGAGACAGGTGTAGCAACAGACAGCAGTGAGAGGGAAGGAAGAAGAGCTAACCTCTCAGTTTTTATTCTCTGTTTTTCCATGTAGTCCAAATATTGACAACATCCATGAACTTGTCCAAATATTGACAACATCCATGAACTTAATTTTGTGACTTAAAGAAGAAATAATTGCCCATGAAGCACTAAGCAGAGTGTCTGCCATGTGATGCCAGTTAATAATTAATTGACTCTTAGGATGGCAAGAAAACATGACTTGCCCTAAAAAATTTAAATCTGCATACAGTGTCATATTGATTGTTATAAATGAATGCTTTCCTCTGTCAAAAGGGATTTAAATAAATTTCAAAAATTATGATCAATAGATTTTATATTAAATATATGTTCTGCTTATTTAATCATTTAGGATTTAATTATTTAGAGCTAAGTTTTGCCCCAAAGATACAGATGTAGTGAAAAGAAGGGACACATGCACCCCAAAGTTCAGAGCAGCAGTGTCCACAATAGCCAAACTGTGGAAAGAGCCAAGATGCCCTTCAGTAGACAAATGGAAAAAGAAGATGTGGTTCATGTATACAATGGAATATTACTCAGCCATCAGATAGGATGAATACCCACCATTTGCACCAACATGGATGAAATTGGAGGGGGTGATGCTGAGTGAAATACGTCAAGCAGAGAAAGACAGTTGTCATATGGTTTCACTTATATGTGGAACATAAGGAATAGCATGGAGGACATTAGGAGAAGGAAGGGAAAAATGAAGGTGGTGGGGTGCGGGGGAATCAGAGAGGGAGAGGGAGACAAACCGTGAAAGACTATGGACTCTGGGAAACAAACTAAGGGTTTCAGAGGTGGTAGGGGTTTGGGGGGATGGGATAGCTGGGTGATGGGTATTAAGGAGGGCACATATTGAAATGAACTCTGGGTGTTATACACAAACAATGAATCATGGAACACTACATCAAAAACTAATGAAGTACTGTATGGTAACTAACGTTCCATTAAAAAAAAAAAAAAGGCTGTATTGAAGAGGGAGGCTTCCAAATCCAGATTACATAAGACTTTGCTTAGGCACCAGAAATTTCCAGTCAACTTTGATGGTTTTATCTTTAGAGTACTAAACTTTAAAAATATTTAGCATTCAGAGGCACCTGGGCGGCTCAGTGAGTTAAGCCTCTGCCTTCAGCTCAGGTCATGATCTCAGGGTCCTGGGATCGAGCCCCATATCAGGCTCTCTGCTCAGCGGTGAGCCTGCTTCCCCCTCTCTCTCTGCCTGCCTCTCTGCCTACTTGTGATCTCTGTCTGTCAAATAAATAAATAAAATCTTTAAAAAATAATTTAGCATTCATAGGTTATTATCCAGTTATCTTCCTATCACTGAAAACCAAAGTTAAATCTTCTCCTCTATGATATCCTACCCCATAATAATCAACAGATAGTCAGTAAATTGAATTTAAATTTAATTTTGTGGAACTTTTTATTATAAGAATTTGGAACACTGTAAGGAGATCATCTTTTATTATGTTCATTTAGTCATCTTTATTTTTATGAAAAATTATGAATAAATTAAATTGAAAATCAAATTGTTTTTTGAAATGTACTAAGGAAATACTTTATGATGAGTTTCTCTCTATAAAAGAACAATTTATAATTTGAATTAGCATTTAAAAAATTCTCTATGGTGAGTTTCTTTGCAATTAAAAGAACCATTTAAAATTTGAACTAACATTTTCACATTTATCTTGTGAGTGAATTGGCCTTCTCACCCACTAGATTTTGCTAAAGCAAGACACTGTATGCCAAGGAGATATAACAAATTGTAATCAATAATATCAAAACTTCAAGAGCTTTTCCTTTTTACGTGCTGATTGTGCTAATATCTTAAAACCTGTTTGTGCTGTCTTCATTTTTATTGGATTGACATATGGAAAAAATATTTTTCCTATGAAGAAATAGTATGATATATACCTATATTTTCTTGATTTTTTTTTTAGACCTATATGTTTCTAAAATATATTTATCCCCATTTCCAATGCTGTTCTCTAGAAGCTCATTTAAATGTGTAATGCATATTAGAGTTGATGAAGTTTGACATGGACTTTTTGTATTAAAGTTACAAGGCAAAATTGAAGTATGATCCCAAATGATCAGCTTCTAGCAACCCTCTAATTTCTAATTCCTTGGATATTTGTTTTGTTCATGGATCTTGGTGTTTTGTGGGTATTTTGTTTTGTTGGTTTTTTTGCCCTCTTTTCTAAATTAAAGTTTAATTTTGAGATAATCATATATTCATATACAGTTGTAATAAATATTATAGGAAGATCCATGTAACGTTTACTCATAGTTCTCCCCAATGGTAGCATTTTATAAAACTAAAGCACATTCTCATAGCCAGGATATTGACATTGATGTAATCCATCAATCTAATTCTAGTTTTCTGAGTTTTCCTTGTACTCGTCTGTGTGAGTGTATGTGAGTGTAGTCAAGTGTAGATCATTTTTTCACACGTTCGGTATCCATTACCAACAGTCAAGACAGCACATTTTCATCACCACAAGAATGCCCTGTGCTGCCTGTTTATAACCTCACATACCTCCTCCCCCGTGGACTTTTCACATGTTGGGGATTTGATGGCAATATATTTTCTAGTTACATTTGGAGAAGTAACTGATTGTCCTTTTCCTTTTGTCAATGTCTGCAAATAAATAACATTAAGCAACTGATCCCTCTGTGTTCACTGTTCTGAGTTGTGCATCTCCCTGATACTTGGCAAAGGAACCAGCATCAGAGGCAGGTAGCTGCCTTGGCTATGCACCATTTCTCCTTTTCTGAAGGCACGGGACCAAATCTACCATCTTTGTTTCCTTTTCCAGATTACGCTCGATTTGAGGCCAAAATCCATGACCTGCGCGAGCAGATGATGAACCACAGCATGAGCTCCGGGTCCGGGTCCCTGCGAACCAATCAGAAACGCTCCCTCTATGTCAGGTAGGCAACGGAGCATTTCTTACTGTGATCTGCACTTTGTGAGCAATCCAGCTTGAGGAGATAAAAGCAACACCTTGTAGCTATGGAACATGTGTTTTTATTAATAGTTCATCACCATAAGACGTCAAGTTTAACCACTTTGAAGATGTTTTTGAAATGTTATTACATTACTTTTAACAAGTTGCTCTTTGAGAATGTTATGGTCCAGGGTCAAGTTCTCAGCACTGGTTGCAGTAAAAATAATGAAAAGAGATATTTTCATTCCTGATCATCTTAAATTGAATATATGGACCAAAACCTTAGACATTTTCTTACTGTCAATATACGAAGAAAATATTCTTGTCTCACCTCTTGATGTGCTTGATATATATTGCATGAACTTGGTGTATTGATTGAAAATCAAAAGCACACTGCTAGAGACTTACATGCTTCTTCCCAGCAACTGGAAAGACTTTCTTCCGTGGTATCTCATGATCAGTTGTTTCTTAGACTATGAAAGGTACCTGTTCCTTGCCTGACAAAATAATTAATTCAGCTGGAAAAAAAAAAAAGTGACTGATTGAACTTGAAAAGTGTTGCAGTCTTTCATCCCTCTAGCTAACTGTTGAATAAGATTCATCATCACTGAACTATAATGTGCACCTCTTCTTAATGCGAGCCTCCTATATTCCTTCCAAAATATACTTCATCAGTGCTGACTGTACTTTTTAAAGTAATATAAGTACTAACAACCAAAGGGGGGACGTGATATCTAATACATTGTCAAGGTGAATCTATGGGCCAGACGAGGAACCATACCCACCCTCACTGCATTCTCCTCTCTTCACTTGGCCCCAGAATCTGGTCCGACTTCCACCTAAGGTCATATCCTCCTCACATGAAATTTACTGTCTTTTTCTCGCATGAAGGGTATGTTATGGATACTAAATTATGGACTTGAATTGATGTGCCCTGTTGATTCCACTTTGGCTATGAAGTTATCTTCTATGTGTATCAGGTAGGCACAGCAGGGCCAAGAAGGGAGCAGGATTCCAGATGGTGGCACGTTCTTGATGGCCTTGAGTTGCTGGACACCTAGAACAAGCATAGAGTCCCTCCTTATTCCAGGAGGTTCTAATACTTCAAAAGCCCAAGATTTAAGATAAAAACAGGATAAAACAAAGCGAAACTACTTTTGACTATTAATGTTCCAAATTTGACTGACTGAATTTCACAAGGTTATTTGGATATACTGCAATGTAATCCGCAACAGGAACTATTAAGAACCACCCTGGAATGTGTCTTGTAGTGAAGTCCCAGATGTGATGGAAAGTAGCTATTTTCTCCTCACTGGCTTTATGTTGCTGGTCTTTGTGATGCAAAATATTTTAAATCTTGAAATGTTTTAGTCTTGGATAGCAGATTGGGAAAAGCCAATTGGGTTAATAGGATAGAGAAAAATCAGTTAATGCAAATGAAATGGGTATATAGAATAACACTGGAAGGAAAAATTACCGTACTGTTATCTTATTTAAAAAAATAGAATGAATAAAAATATTAATGTACTAGAAAAATTTTGCTGAAAATATACTGGTAGGAGTTTAGTCTTTTGAATTAAGTTGTGGACGGTTAGGAAAATTAAATTGTGTGATACAGTGATGGACTGTAAAACTAGTGGACTTATTTTAAAGAGTAGTATTAATCAGACCCAAACCTTTATTCTCTAAAATGATAAATAAAAGTATGACATACAGAAGAGATCAAGACTTAAGGTAATAAAGAATCTTATCTTGTATCACATTCTAATAGTTGGAAATGGAATTGAAAGGAGAACCTCTTTCAAATGACACTTAAAAATTAAAAAAAAAATAAATAAATAGCTGACACTTCCTGGGAAATTCTCCAGATGATCTCTCCACTATACAAATAATATGGTATTTGTTTTCCAACTGTATAATTATCAATACTTTAGTTAGTACCTAGAGGGCTGTCCTTAGCATCTAAAGGACTCTTAGAGGCATAACATTGGAAGAGGTAGGCGACATGCATAGAGTAAAATCAGAGGAAAAGAATTTTCAAGACCTCCCCCACCTCGGCCTTATTCTCATACGATGTGCCTACCCCAACAACAGCAATGACAAGGCAATCAAATAGAATGAACTAGCAAGGCCTAGGGGGAATTCTTACTAAAAATGATCCAGCAACTTTGTACCTTTGTCTCCCACTCTTTATTTTTTACAGAGGGGGGTGGGTTACACCAGATTTAGCTTTAGGATTTTCATAGTGATGCTTGCTTTATCTAGAGCACTGGAATAGGGCTGGTGCCAGTTGGTTGTACTTATTTTAGAAAGTCAACTAAGTTCCTCTCTCAAAATAAATGAGTAGCAGGATTTCTCTGATTATATAAATATCAGATGATAAGTATGTTTCTTTAATCTCAGAATGACATCCTGGAATATTATTCTGCTTAGCTTTATGGAAGTCTAGGGCTGGATGGAATCTTAGCCAACCCCAGGTCCACAGCTTAATTGACAGGACAGGAAACTGTGGCCCCAGGAGGGGAGAGATCTGCCACAGCTCTTTGGTGGCAGAGTCAGATCTTCTCCCTGCCTTCACACTCGCACTCGGCCTCCCAAGGGCTCAGCTTCTGCGGTATCAGCTGTTGAATGTACTTGAGCTGTGATTCCCAGTCTGCTTCTGGCAGCACAGCCCCCAACTCTTAAATGAAAAAATAGGTTAGCCAAGAGGAGAAACTCAAACATAAACCCCTTGGGGGGTTACACAGGATAAACTGCGCTGCAGGACATATGGGATTTCTTTAGTTTTATTGGTATTTTTCCATGAAGCCAAAACCTAAACCAGAAAGCTAGCAGCCTCTCTTTGTTCTGTGATAATATTTGTGCCACAAAACCACCCCTTCCCCTAGGAGTTGCCTCCTCTTCCCTACACACACACACACACACACACACACACACACACACACACACACACACACACACACACACATCCTCCCCCCCCACACACACCCCACCCCCACCCCGGCTGTGTCTGAGAGGCTGCATCTTCTCAGGATGCTGCATGAGCTGGCCTCATTCCCTCACCAGAAGTAGTCCTCCCAGGTGATAGCAATTTGTTTGCCTGAAAGTGTCGAAAGGAGGGAGGGGGAATCCGCACATCTGAGCCAGGCAGGGTTTCAGACTTGAGCCAACTGTCTCTATTTTCCAATCTATGTGTAATTATTTTCCTTCTTTGAATCTTTTGTGTAAGGTACCCAAAGTGCTTTGGTGATGCTATGCAAATGGAGTTGATTACTGCTTATGCTAACACTGTACCTGTTCTGTGCGAATGATTTGGATATATTTGATTTACTAGGCTCTTTGTATTGTGTATTTCCTGTGAAATATAGAGCTGTAGAACCTTAAAAGTAAATAAAATGTAAAAAATTTGAATAAAATATTTTTCAAAATGCTCCACAAGAACATTTATGAATTCTTCAGACGTAGATGCACTTGGGCTCCCGAGCCACCGCAATACAGATTTTTTTGCACATGTTTCGAGGCTATGTGGGCAGATGGAGCTCTCCCTGCCTCTAAGATAAGCGCTCTTACCTACCAGCTGGTGAATGCATCCCTATGACAGAGAACAAAGCTTTTCCTGTTACTAATAGGAATGGACCTTTATATTCAAATGCTACTAAGAAAGGTCAGAGATGCAGGTGCTTGAAATCACACAGAAGTGCAAACAGCTAAGGAAAGTGCCTTTCATAATATAAAGGAGAGCAGGAGTATCCAGGGCTTGGAGAATCAGGAGAGGAGGAAAGAAAAGCAGCCAAGTCCACCAATGGGAGTAAAAGATCACAGGAAAGAGTGAAGCCTGGCCCATGTTCATTAGTTAATCAAAGGTATCCATTTTGAGAGCTTAAGTGAATAATCTCTCTGTCTTGAATTTGGGTTTAAAAGTCATTTGCTTTGATTTATTTGTACATTATCAAGCTGTTTTGGAGTGTATATTTTGTGCCAAGACCTATATGGATACTGAGGACTCAGCCATAAAAGTCAAAGTTTCCTGTCATAAGAACCTTCCATCCAGTGGGAGAAACAGATGAGAAGAAGACAATCACAGTGCAGTGTGGTGTGAAAAATTATCTCTAGAAAGGCCTGGCATCTTTAATTGCTTTGTAATGCAAAGATACCCAAATTGGTCCTTAAAGATCTTACGTGAGTTAACTTACACGTTTTCAAGTCTTTTTACTCAAAGTAAGAAAAACATTCTTCATCATGTCCCAGTAAACACATAGACAAAGCTGGAAAATATTTTTTTATTAAATTGTGCTTTTTATGTAAAGTGGATTTTGTTGTGTTCCATTCTATTTGTCTCCCTTTTTAAAAAAAAAAAATGAAGGCCACAGCTCATCAACTTGATTTAATAACTCACTAATGGGTCACAATGTACAGCTTGCAGATCGAATATACCAGAAGGGGCACTCTAGGCAGATGAGACACTGTATGTAGTCAGGAGAGCACACCTTTACTGCATTACATGGAGCAAATCTCTGGGCTGGTGTTTCAGCCATCTTGGTACAGATGAGGAAGTGGAAGTGAAGGGAAATATTTGTCAGGCACCTTCTGTGGGTCACCTGTTGTGCTTGTGGTGTTATACAAATGTTTTCCCATGTGGTTCTCCCAATGTCTTGAAGAGACAAGGAATGTTTCTTCCATTTTACAGATAAGAAAACTGAGATTCACAGAAGTTAAATAATGTCCCCAAGATCACAGAGTTAGACTGGATGTAAGTGTAGACATTCAGGTCCTGTGTGGAGGGTAGTGGAGAACAGTGTTTAAGAGCACAGTTGCTGGATTCTATCAGACAAAATTTGAATCTTGGTGTTGCCACTTACTAGCTCAAGTGACTTTGGACAGCTCAGTCTCTCTGGCCTTGGTTTCTCTATCTATGAAACGAGAATAATAATAGGATACCATAAAGTGGTCATGAGGACTAAATAAAATAGTGAATTTAAATAC